TTTTAAGAGAAATTTGGGCGGGGGTTTTTTCTCTTATTTTAATTGGGTTTGGGATTTCGCAAGGGGGGGGGGGGGGGGGGTGGACGTGACGATACGGGTCGTCGTAGTGGGTCGGGGAGGCTTGAAGTGGGCCACAATCGCCAACTTCGAGCAAGTCCAGACAGAATTTAGGATTAAATTCTGTCGGCAGATTGTGAACAGGTATCAAATTTTTATATAACATAAATTGTACTGCAGTTTCCAAGTAAAATTGTATGATAATTTTTTTGATTTGGCCTATACAGAACCCCCCATCCCCCAGATTTAGAGAGTACATGTTGGACGATAACTTCTAAACTATTTTGGTTTGTCCACTTCTGTTTTCTGCATATCACTACTACTGCTCTAAGCTTTACAACCATATAAAAATATCTGGAATCCGAAGGGGTCCCTCTGGTACTGTTTGGTATCCCAAATTCTGGTTACCACCAAACCAGTGTTCATGACTGATCCACCCCCGCTTAGCGTTTAGAAAAAATCGGCTCACTGACCCTGATGTCATGCCAGTAGTAGGCAAACCCATCAGTGCCATCCAGATTAAATTTCTTCTCATCGGAAAAGACCACAGTACGCCTTTTTTCCAGGGAGAATTGCACATGTGTCTCTGCCCAAGACATCCTTTTTGCGATGTTCGTTTGTTATCCACGGGGCGGTCGCCATAGTTTTAAAAGCCATAAAACCAGTCCCTCTAATTATCTGTTGCACTGTAGAGGTGCTTACCGATAGCTCCAAGGCCTTCCGAATTTTTGATGCAGTGGTTAGTTTCTTCGAGGCCTCACGAATGACCCTCCTACGGACGGCCTCGGTCACTTTGGGAGGTCTGCCAGGCCTCTGGATAGTCCCATACTGTGCTGGATTGTTTAATAATCTTGTGACGACCGTTTTGGAACGCTTCAACTTCTCGGCAATCTGCCGATGATACCACTTCGCAGAGTTCAAAGTATTGATCTCTATCCTTTCGGTTGGGGTAAGCTGGGTGCCGCGAGGCATTTTTTAAGGATATGCAATCGACAGTGGTGTTCTGTGGAGTGTGGGGGATCGGGGTATACATCTGGAACAGGTGTTTCGCTTTCGCACCACAATTAAAAAACAATATACTGTAGTGGTCCTATAGTTTTTACAGCCAAAAATTTATGTTTTGCTTCTGTGAGCGTTTTATTATTCGGTCCAAAATTCTGAGTGCCTATTTGCAATTGTTTTGAAACAAGCTTTCCATTGGTGTGCAGAAGTCCGGGTGTCCTTTCGTGGAACCTTGGCCCCCAACTGGTCTTATATTTTTGATGGTGACTGTAACAGAGGATGTGGCGGATAACAACAGTTAAATTGGAAGATGTGCAGCCGAAACATCCTTTGACCACTCTCCATACTGACCGCAAAACCGCTACCAGAAGGCCCCCATACCTGCCTTCCCCTGAAAAGGAAAACTATACAGCGTTCCGCCACGCCGACTCAGCACACTATCCAGCGTCCAACGTCAACCGGCCTTCTGACCCAACACTCTATCCTGGGTCAAGGCTCTGGAAAAGCGTACTACGCGTACGGGTTGGCTTACCCAACATTCTATCCTGGGTAAAAGCTCTGGACAAACGCACTGTCATGGACCAACCTGTACCAGCTCGGCGACTCAACCAGTTGTCGTCAGATCTGTCTCTAACACAGAATCATGCCCCAGAATCAACGCGAACAGGCTGGATGACACAAAATTCTATCCTGGGTTAAGGCCCTGGACAGACGTACTGTCTTGGACCAATTGTGGTATAACTATCTTCGTCCCGATCACTCGGAAACGAGGGGGGTTAGAGGTAAGGTAGCGCGCGCCGCGGGGTAACCCACGCGCGAACGCAAACCGTACGGATGGACTCGAAAAGAGGGAAGGCTCACGTGGCCGGTGACGCGCAGCCAGTCAATAGTGTTAGATCCGGACGGCCGGTCACGGCTTAGAAGCCTGAGACTAAAAGGTAAACCGGAACGGGATAGCAATTAGTCGTAAACGGAAGGGAGGCGAGTCTGTCTCCTCTTTACTGGGACGGGAGGGTGTCCCCGGTCTTAACCCCTAAGTGGGACGCCAGGACACCTGTCCCTCTACAGTAGCTGCCACTTGCTTTGTACCAGCTACTGTACACAATTACTTAATTTGTGCAATTAACTACTACTTACTAGTTAGCCACCGTACGGATTATACACCTGTGCCCGTGGTCGCGATCCCGGCCAACGGTTGTGCCACGTGTTACTCGTGGCCACGCCCGCTGCTACCGGCTGTCCCACGTCAGACCCTTGGGGTACTACTGTACACGGCGGCGGGCGCGTGTACGCCCGCTCGCTACAGTAACACGCCCCCGCGCGGTTATCATCTCGCTGGGGGGTTGTGGTACGGAATTGTACTACAAACCTCATCGATTTTGCTCGTATGAAATTCAAGAACGCATCCACCTTTGCCTGACGTTCACCCTTCTCCGTAGATAAGTTTACATTTGCAGAGACAGAGGCAGAACCCACGCCCTTCATGCTTTCACAGTCCCTCCAATCCAAACAAGACTGCACCCATATCCCTGAGCGCTTTTGATGGTGTTACCTCCTAACCAGATGGCAGCCGCCAAACCTCGTCGGCAACACGAAGCGGCTCCCGAACCAAGCCTTCGTGTCACTACAGTACCGAAACCTTGACTTGAGCGATGCGCTGCCACGCTCAAGCGTGAGACCAGTCTCAACGTTTTATAAAGCACTTCTTATTCCATGCAGAAGTCGTGGGGGCGCAAGACAAATAAACAGCGAAAAGGCGCAGAAGATTAAGAGGCAGAATGCAAGAGTAGTTGGGAAGATGCGCTAGTTGGCATGAAAGATAAGTGCAAGAGTAGAAGCGGGGAGTCGTGAAGCATATGAGAACACAGCGTAATGGGGGCCCGGGATGGAGGAGGGATCTCCTGTCGATTTTATGTGAAGCTTGTAGCGAGATCACTAGGTCGGAAATATCTGTTGTGTAATGGTGAAAAATAATGGATCTCAAATATTTGGTAAGAAAATGGAGGAAATTGGATCGAGTAATTGGATCGACTACTTTGGTACAAGGATGCGTTGTGAGACCAAGGTTTTAAAGCCGATTCCTCAGTTATCTAGCTGAGTAACATGGCTTCTTGCGATAAGGAGGCGAAGAAGAAAGCAGAATGCTGCATTTTATTTCGTTATACTACCATGTACGTGAGCGATGTGTTTCTGCTTCCCCTTCCTTCTTCGACGTTCACGCAATTGGGACTTGGACAGTTTGTCAGTTTCTCGTTTTTTCTTCTCAGCATGCCTTGCCCTTATTCCCCCTCTTCGGTTCCTTGTTCGTCGTCCTGTTCATCTGGCTAGCTCTAAAATTCCTTTTTGTAGTTCCTTAACTTTTTCATCCCCTAATTATTGCGCGGCCATCAAAAGGCGGTCGTAGACAAGGCTCTCAATTCGCTCCTTACACCGCGCACTCATCTGTTCTGGAATCTTTGTCAGTTCCTCTCCTTTCTCTGGGCTTTCCTCCGAAAACCACTCAGTCCACAACTCGAACGTGTAGTGGTATTCATTGTCGTGGTTGGCACACTCAGCTTGACTCTCCACATCGCAAACATTGCTTTCCACTACATACTCCGGCTCAGGCCAAACTTCCTCTTCCATCCATTCATGCGTGCGACCCGGTGTGCTCGGTCGTTCAATCTCATCCTCGACAGCAGCATAGTGACTACCTCCGACCCTACTTTCATTTTTTCTCCGTATTTTTTCCATGCGACTCGAAAAGTCTTTGGAGACTTCCATTAGAGTCTCTAGAATGGTGAACTTATTGCGCCCCTCCACCTTCCCTTTGTAGTCTACGTACGAAATAAAGGCTTCACGAGCCTTTAATGAAACGAACTTCCCGAACACAGCCTCCTCACATAGAGCAGCGTGTGACTTGCTCATGTCACTGCAGCTACTACAGTAGTCTTCGGAGTCCCCTCTTCAGCGTGAGATCAATCTCATCCACTGTGTGGCGGTAGATCCGTGGGCGACTTGTGAAGAGAACAGAACAGTGAAGGCGAAAGGTCGTGATTGTGGTATAACTACCTTCGTCCCGACCACTCGGAACGAGGGGGGTTAGAGGTAAGGGAGCGCGCGCCGCTGGGTAGCCCACGCGAGCGCAAACCGTACGGAAAGACTCGAAAAGAGGGAAGGCTCACGTGGCCGGTGACGCACAGCCGGTCGGTGGTGTTAGATCCGGACGGCCGGTCACGGGTTAGAAGCCTGAGACTTAGAGGTAAAACCGGACGGAGTTAGCAAAAAGCCGTAAAGGGAACGGAGGCGAGTCTGCCTCCGTTTACTGGAACGGGGCAGGTGCCCCAGGCCTTAACCCCTAAGTGGGACGCCAGGACACCTGTCCCGCTACAGTAGCTGTTACATGCTGTATACCAGCTACTGTACTAAATTGGCTAATTTGTGCCATTAACGACTAATTGCTAATTACTTACCGGATGGGTCGCACACGTGTGCCCGTGGCCACGACCGGCGCCAACGGTTGTGTCACGTGTACGCCGTGGAGGTACTACTGTGCTCGCAGAGGGCGCGTGCACGATTACTACAGTAGTAACCGCCCGTCTCGGCGGTTCTCATCTCCCACCGGGGGTCGCGGTGTGGAATTGTACCACAGACCCCCTTCCTTACTTCGCGACACGGCCTCGTTGCGGCCGGGGGTTGACATGACCGGCTTGCAGGGTGTCCCATCCGTACGGAGAAGTCCGCGCCGACCACCGGGGCGCGGGCGGACTACGGTCAACTCCATGGGGGAGCCCATGGAGTTTTTGGTATTTAACCGCGTCGGATCCCCTGGGGCGGCAATGGGTCCCCTCACGCTTTCGTTTTCTCTCACATCACCCCACACCACGCACCCCACTTTCTCCACCTCCACATCTCGTTTCCTTCCCCTGTCTTCCCCCCGCATGGACAATCGACAGTCCGAGCGGGGTCACCCTCCTCGGGCTCAGCTCCCTACGGTGCCGGCCGCGCCGGTCCCTACCTTTCACCCGGCGCTGGCGGCGGGCCCCGTGAGTCCACCCGCGGCGAGCATCGCAGCCCCGCGGGTGCGGGCTTCGGGTGCGGGGGTTCCCCCCTCGCGCGGCCCTCCCGCCGTCCAAGGTCCCCTGCCGCGCCCTCCGCGCTCTGCCCCGGCTCCCCAAGTCGGTGAGATGACCGTACTGAAACGGTCTCCCGACTGGGTTGTAGCCACGGGGCAGACGGCGGCCGGGGCGGGTGACCGCCCGGTACCGCCGGACCCGTACGCGACCACGCCCCCGGCGACAGAGGCGTCGCCATCCGGCTGGCTCCGGACGGGTGTTCGTGCAGTTGGGAGTTTGTTGCCTGGGGCCGACTTAGACCACCGGGTTCCCCGGGGTGGTGGCAACCCCTCACAGACACAGCTGCCGATGTCCGTCGAGGCTTACATCGGAACGGCCTTCCCCGATGCCGCTCGGTTTGGGGCCATCCCCAGGCGGCGGGGTATCCGCACGCCCTCTCCTCGCGGACGAATCCGCCAAGACAACCGCGTGGCCGCTTGGAGGACCCGCTGGGTCCACGTACTACACCGCGTAATGGCGGATTCCCGTTCGGATCTTCTCTACATCCGCTGTGCGGGAGAGGACGAGGTACTCCATTGGCCATCCTCGGACATGTGAGGTAATTGTCCCTCCTCAGAAATGTGAGTCAGAGATCCTCGATTGTAGGGGTCGCGATTTCCGACGGGGCCCCCGGGTTACGGTGGTCAGTGTTGTATGCCAACGCTGTCGGGCCGATCCCACAGACAACAGGCGGGTATGCGCACGCGTTTTCGGCGACAGTAGCGGACGACCGTGTTATAGTCCACGTGGTGGACCGGCTCCCCGGTGTCGTCGCCCGTGGAATACCCGTAACAATGGACGCGAACTAAGGGGATACCGTCCGTGCCCGGGGAGTAGCCGGCGAGCAATTCTACGACGTACTCGGTGGGTAGGACT